CCTCGTCCCGCCCAAACAAACAAGCCGAAGAAAATGCCGACCGAGACGGCGCGTGTCTTGCGGCCGATCCACGGTGTTCAAATATTTGAAAAGGGACACGAAAAAATAAAAAGTTTGAAGGAAAAGAAAGACAAAGGAAGCGACGCGGGAAAAGGTTGCGCGGCTGCTGCCTCCAGGACTCGCCTCCCCTCCCCCTACGCCAACTGTGGCGGCCGACCAATTTTTAGCAGTCGAAAATTGAAGTCGGTGTATGATGTCACGGCTGGGGACCGCAAGAGCAATTTGTATTCAGATTGGATCCTCGCCCCTCCCTCGGCCCCGCACTGCGCAGCCAACTTGAGGGGGTGGAGGGCGTCTTCCTAGTTGGGACGCCCAAAAAGTGCAGCCGACATGCGAGCTGAATTTCCCTCCACAGGGCCACCGCCACCCCAGCGGGGAGGAACTTGCATTTGCATTCTTGACTTTCCACCCCGGGCAGGCCTAACACTGGTCGCAACTTATTCCGTTCGAATCTCGTTCTGCAGACGGCGCGCAGAGTCAACCTTCCAGGCTTTCTCGTTTTCGTGCCAACCCCCTCCCCCGCCCCCGTTTCCATCTCCGGTTTCGTCGCGCTGCTCTCAGGGTCTTGTCTGCATGCACGCCGCGTTGCCTATCCTGGGGCGGCTACTTATTTTCCCCGTGCCATGCATACATTTTGCACTAAACCTCAGAGATGGGGAGGGGGAGGGGGTCCCTCCTCCTCTCGTTGCGGCGGCGTCTGCTGCAGACACATCACTAAACATAAGCTGCCGCTCTATGCGGTTACGTGGGTGGCGCGCAGTCGCCATTTTTTCCAACTTACTTTCCCCCCATTTTCCACTGTTTTCTTTTTTCACACGCTCACTCCTTATTTTTTTTTTTTTTTTAAAGGTGCTTTACTACATTGATCTGCCATGCCGCTGTTTTCCCAACTCTGTCCCGTTTGAAAAGGACACGCAGCAAAAGCTCTCCCCTAGGTTCCCGTTCCCCAGCCGAAAAAAGAGATTAGTCCGCGATTTGTTTCAAAATGGCCGCGGCGTTCGCGTCCACGACCGCGCCAATGGGGCGTTCCCACGCGTCGGGCCGAGATGACGGCGAGTATATCTCGGCCGTCGCGGCGGCTAAGCATATGTTTACATGGTCGCGCACGCTCCGAGCCAAACAGCCGTCGCTCTGTCTCCCTCGCGCCGCTGCGGGGTGCCCCGCGGACGGAGACAGGGTGACGGCTCGGCAGGCGGGCTCACGCCGACGGTTAGGGGTGAGCTTCAAAGGAGGAGCACCCGGGAAGAAGGAAGCCGAAGCACCGCACTGCTGTACTCACTCGGGACGCCCTGCCGGTACCGCGCAGCTCTTGAACTGGCCACCGCCTTGTCGAACGACGACTGGCAGCCCTCAGGAGCGGGCAGTGCACATATAGGAAGGCGCAGCGGTGATAAGGGCCTTAGTGCTGCAATGGCCTTTATGGGGCGTGGGAGGCGACAGCATTGTTCGACAGGGCACTGCTTTACGGACGACTACGGCCCTACTCGCCAAAAATGACGACAAGAAGAGTAGCTCCAGGATCTGTTTGGAGCTATCTGGGTGAATGGCATACTTAGGTGACAGTAATTTTCAAAAGTTTCATAGAGCTAAATTTTTGATTTTATTTCTTCCTTTGTGTCATTTTACTCCTGCTACGCAGGACAAAATAAAAATTGATTACAAAGAGGGATCGAAAGAAAAGCGATGGCCGCCCAGAAATAGTTGAATTTAAATTGCATTAGAATGCCGGCGCGCTGCAAGAGAGCAGCGGCGCGTGTTGGAGCACACCAATCCGTTCCTCCCCGTCCCATCTGGGACCCAGGGACCCTGGGACCCTGCCCTATCGCCCCGCTTGCCGGCTGCCGGCACGTACTGCACCACGCATCATCGGGAATATCGGGGGCCGCCGCGGCATGCCGCGCCCCGCCGCACCCCACCCCGCCCCGCCACGCCCCGTCGCGCCACGCGGTTACTCATGACTTTCGAATAACATGCGGGGGCGAGGTGGGTGGGGCGCGCGCGCGAAGTCACGAAAAACGCGGCGCTCCGACAAAAACGACACAACGTTTTTCCGTCCGCGCTTTGGCGCGCTTCGCAGTGCATTAGCGCGGGTCTTCTTTCCCACCCTGGGCGTCGCACAAAGGCGCGACACGAACGTAATGTCATGTTCGTCACCTATGACGGCGTCCGTTGGACCGCGCCTCACGCCCCGCCCGTCCTTGTCACTCCGCCGCGGGCTGGCGACGGGAGTGACGAGGACGGACAGACTGCCGGCCTAGAGCCGTAAAGGTCAAAGCCGTATCTCCGCTGCCAGCGCCCCGCACTTGCGGCTCTCTCCCCGGAGGCGGGAGGCTCTCCGCCGCGCCGCCTCTCCCCGCCGTAACTGCGCGGCCGGGCGGCGGAGTTACGTGCATCCAGCGCGCCGCACTTTTCGCAGGTGATACTTTATGGACTACTTGCTGTCGTCGCGGACGGCCGAGCTTCCGTGCGGGGCGGCAAAGGAGCCGCCGGGGTGCACGCATCGCGCGCATCGAACGCATCGCACGCATCGAACGCATCGGCAGCCCCATCCCAATTCTATAAAAGCGATAAAAGATGCAGGGAAAATCGGAGGGAGAGAACGGAGCGGTGTGGAACGTCTAGTGTGGGCAAGCGGGCAGTAAAGTCGTCTTGTTACTCGCGGCCGCTTCGACTTCGCGAGAGGAAGTCCTTGTCGGGAATCGCACTTCAACTCGCGGTTTTACTCAACATTCCTTGCCGGACGGCCCGCCAGCAGGCTTCACGCGGTGCGTGTGCCTGCACTCGCCTCGTCGGGGCCACAGCCAGGGCACTGACCCCCGAAATGACGCAAGAAGTTCATATGGAGGACCCCTGCAGCCCCAGTTCCGGGCAACGCATTCTTACGCAACGCTAATGGCAGCATCCCTTCCGGGAAGACCTCGGGCTCCGGGGCAAGGCCGGTGTCACCGTCTCTCTCCCACCCACACGCCGCGGCCCGGGAGTGCGAGAGAGACAATCGCTCTGCGAGCAGTCTCGGCAAGGACGCCCATTAGGTAATGGGACTCCGGTCAGCGCCCCCCGGCACCAGCCCCACACCAGCCCCGCCGCAGCCCCCGACCGGCCAGGACAATGGCACACCATAAAATCATTTTCTCGAGAATCGGGAGCGCGGCCTTGCTCTGTTTTCGGGCAGCCCGATTAAAAGGCTGGAATGAAAGGGTTGCAGGTATCGAGGGAAAGTACACTGTCAACCGTTGGTAGGCCTGCGATTTTCAGTACATTCAGAAAGACGACGCCGGCCCTACGGGAACGAATTGTTTGTTTTTAGACAGAATGTTTAGCGGCCAGACACAATGTTGTCCTTGGATTCTACTGAACTGAGAGCAAATTTAGCTAAATCATATTTTAGAACACCAAAGCGGACAAGCAGACACCCCAGACAAATGAATAACTGTCAAAGTGATTTGACAAATCTGTAAGGTGGCTGTTTGATTGGCAACCGTGCCCATGAGGATTGACATGTCTTTCTTTCTTTCTGTTTCAAAATTAAAGATTCTAAAAAAATGTGAAATAATACCCTTGAAAATTTGTCAGAAATGCAGCTGTGGTTAAAATGTCAGAAATTTTCGAAAACATTCGAAACTGGTGGGACTTTACAGCGACAGTGAATTTCCTAGAACATTGGAATGCACGCAGTAGACAAATCAAATCGTCGCCTTTGTCGGCAAAATCCAGGGTGCAGAGGCTGTGAACTTGTAATAAGGTTCAAATTTGAAAACTAAAATAAGTTGGCTTTAGCGCCGAAAATTTGATAAGAATTAATGACACACTTTTTGGACAAGGAAGTTTTCGCCAACGCCGGATGTATCTCTGACTAACGTCCTCAAATTGATTTTCCCTCGAATTGGGTTCTCACTGAAATTTGGGCAGTAAAGCCTCCCTCGCCCAAAAATTTAGTCACGGCCATGAGACCATCATTACAAGTGCAATCAAACCCCGATACAAGTCCCAGAGCCGGCCGCAGAGCCGCGACGGCCTCCCGTGCCCCGTTTGAAAAAGGGCGCGAAGCGAGGGGTGGCTGCTCCCCGCGGACGTGGCGCGCTCTAGCGGGGACGCGCTGCAACTAGGATGCGGCGCGCTGCCGGATTGGGCGCGCGCCCGGCGGCCATCATGGATGCGCACAACGCGCTGCAGAGAGCATAATTTACGCAGGTCCTCGGCCGGGGCCAGCCAATGAGCGCGCGCCGGACCGGGGGAGGGGGGATGCGTTGTCATGGCAACCGGCCTCGGCGTCCCCCACCCGCCCCGCACCTCGCCCCTCGCCCGACGGGGTCTGCGGGAGCGTCGGCTCCGCGTTCCAGTTCGAGTCTCTCGTCGCCGCGGTGCATCTTCGGCTCAGGCTGAGGCCGGGATGCGGTCTGAAGCCTGGAGCCCAGCTACATGAGAGGGCCGTGGCAGGACCAGACAGGACACTGCTGTCCCGCTAAAATGACACCCTTCTTAATTTACTGCGAATTAATGAATGAATGAATGAACGAATGAATGAATGAATGAATGAATGAATGAATGAATGAATGAATGAATGAATGAATGAATGAATGAATGAATGAATGAATGAATGAATGAATGAATGAATGACGTGGAGTTGGACCAACTCAGTTGATGACAGTCAGCGCAAAAATTTTTGAATCTATTGTCAATGCAATATCCGTGTAAATGCAAAAGCCCATAGGTCAGTCCAAGACAAGACAGCACACCCGGCCTAGGCACTGGAGAATATTCTCATGCAGAACGGGCGATGCCGACCGACAAAGTTCTCATACTGCCCCACCCGCGACGGAGCGAGCGAGACAAACAGAGCGAGAGAGACAATAGGTGGGGTGGTGGTGCGGGGCCGTGCGGGGTGGCTGCTGTGGGGGTTGCGCGGCAGTGGCGCTCATCGTAGTTCGCCGTCCTCTCACCAGATATCGCTGCCTGCCCCGACGCCGGCCTTGGCGTCGTCCCTGCAACACAGAAGAGGGAGCTTGAGGTTCGCGTCGCGTGGCGGGGTGGGGCGGGGCGGGGCGGCCCTGCCGAATCCTTCCTGGCGACCCACAGCCGCCGCGCGCCAGACAGCGCGGACTCCCGCGTCGCCAACTCATTTTCCGAAAATGTTTGCAGCGCCGGGAAGAGAGCTTGCACTCATCCCTGTGATTATCTTCCCGTAAGTGACATACACAGTCCCACGACGCGGACACACGAAAGCGCGCGCGCACACACATACACTTACGGGTCACTGCAGTGCAGTAGCCACAAATTTATGGTGATGCAGGCAACGCTTCCCTGCCAAGGCCTCGGCAAAGGCGGACACCGCGGCGGCGCCGCGCCCAAGCCCTGCCTCCGCCTGGCTCAAGCCAACCAAATTATGATTTCAGCCATCGCCTACACTCGGCGATGTCGGCCGGCCGGCCGACGTGCCACTTTGCATGGCGAGCGCTTTCGTCCATGTTCCCGGCTGCAGTCAGGTGCGTGCCAAAAATATCCGTCTTGCGCTGTCACAGCAGACGACGCTACAGTGTCGCGTTCTGGGAAGGCGGAAAGGGTGTATTTTCAGAATGTGTTACGCTGGGGCGAGACGGAAAAAAAAAGAAAATTGGCGCTCGCTCTCGAGTGTGTGTGTCTGTGTGTGTTGGACTGTGTGTTGGTGCGTGTTTCAGTGTCTCTGTGTGTGTGGACGTTGAACGCGTGCCGCGGCGAGGCTGGGTGGGGGGAGATGATTGTTCAGGTTTCAGACTCATCTAGAGTTAGTAAAACGGAGGTAAACGTCAGTCGCCACCAAAACTACCATAAAACTACTGTGCTGCGATGGTGCGGAGGTTGTAGAGGCCGCGCACGCGTTTACGAGCGCCATCGCATTTGCCTTCTAATTCGACAGTTTATCTTCTCCTTGTCTCTTGATCGCGACGATGAGGACAAATTCGGGCATCGCGGGGCCGATGACCCGCGACCGGCAGCCAAAACAAGACCCAAACAAAACGCGAAAGAGACAGGAGATGACGCAGAGCTGATAATCCTTCGAAAATACAACAAAATGGTGGAACTAACCTTCCACGGTTTGCCATTTTTTCAATATTTTACAAATATCACATCACTTGACCAGAAATGCTGTTTTTTTTTTGCGGTTTCCTTTCGAATTTTTTTTTCTTGTGATCGGAGTACTTGACACTTTGCTCTCGCGGTCCCTCACGCCTCCTCGGCCAAATGAGTTCGAAAATCGAATCCCGATCTGAGATTAACATCTTTGGCGCCATTTTGCGTCATTGAGCCCGCCTTGGCAGCACCAGCAGGCCGTCGCTCTCCTGGGACACGATTGTGTCTCTGCGCGCTCCGATAACGGAAAACAATGTTCGGCCACGGATCGTAAAGTCACACGGGTCGCTCCTGTACGTCTTATTACTGCGCCCACAGTGGCTCGGTGCGACCAGGAATCTTTGGAAAATTTCACCAGTTCCTATTGAAAAGTAAGGAAAAATTCGCGAACCCTATGATCACACTTTATTTCCGAATCCGGAGGCGATTCGAAAACAAAGCTTTCAGCCTTGCCAGTGTGTCACGTGAGCCCCGTCGTTCTACTACTTTTCGCGATAGGGTCTAAAAGATTTCGGTCAGCCTGAAAAGCAGTGAGTGCGGAGCTACGGCTTGATAGAAGGGCCAGCCAGTCCGCCGGGGGAGGGGATAGGACCGGTTTGGACGGTCAGGTGGGATTGGTCCGACCAAACTCATTAGCATGGCCGGCACCGAGGCCGCATGCCACAGCGGATAAGAGAGAGACGGAGCGAGGCGCGGGCTAGGAGCGAGAGCGAGAGAGACTGTCCAATTACAGCCCGTATTCAAACCACACAACGTACAGCCTTGTTCCAGGCAGGCACCGATGTCAGCCTAGTGGAGGCTGCGCCGGCCGCGCGGACATCGCTTCTCGTCCGTGAGTGACGGCCTGTTTTTTTTCGTTTCCCTTTTTCTGATATTTCTCTCTCTCCGATTCCCCCTCTTTTTTTCCTTTTTCCCTTCACCGTATTTTCTCTCTTTCGCCCCTGGTGGCGTTTGTCGGCTGTCCCACGCCAGGGGCTTATCCCCAGCTCGCCCGGACGTACCAGCGGTCAGTAATTTAAAACAACAACAAGAAAAACAACAAACAAAAAGTACAGAAAAGAAAGACCGTCAAAACAAAAAATCATACCTTTCGCATTTTTCAAAAATGGACAATTAATCTTACTTGCGTCGGTCACCTGTCCACTTGTGATTCGCACGGATGAGGGCAGAAGCGATCCGCCGAGCGCCACTGAGTGCAGCCTGGCCTTCGCTTTCACTCACACACATGCCCGCACTTGCGCTCTTTCTCTCTCTCTTCACACACACACACACACACACACACACACACACACACACACACACACACACACACACACACACACACAGACCCACGTGGCCGTTGGGGCTGTAAACGCGTGTTTATGTGCGACAGTAAAAGTTAAAAGTCAATGAAAAGGAGGCGACAAGACTTTTAACACCCTCTGGTCAGCCACCCACGGCAGGCAGGCCGCGGTGGGCCGCGAGTCGAGTGCGAGGACGTGATCGCGGCGCCTCGCCGTGGGAAAGCGATTCGCAACACGCACAACGGCTCCATTCCAGTTCAAGGCCGCGCGGGTTTTCAGGGTTCGCTCGCCGAACGCCGCGCCCGACGACGACGATGACGTCATAGCAGCGTACGGTGTGCGCGCGAACGGGAGCAAGAGTAAGAAGCCTTTTCCTCTTTTTTTTTCGCCTCGCGTGATGAAGTCATTTTTCATACGACCCTTTTTCTCTCGCCTCTGCATTTTTCTCTGCCAGAAGCACAGCAACAGCGGCGGCGGCGGCAGCAGCCAGCCCTCCATCGCAAAACTGTGAAACAAAACACGGCGGGAAATGCCCGGCTCTGCGGAGATGGCGGGGCGGGGTGGGGCGGGGGAGATGGAAGGGGTGATGGCAGAGAGTCGGTTGAGCCCCCGAAAGGAACAAATTGTGGCGCAGAGAGGAGGGTTCACTGGGGATGCCACTTCACCGCTTGATCAGGTGCAGGAAAAAAACTCGACCCGGGGGCCCTCTTTCTTTCCCCCTTTTACCTGTACCGGCCCAAAAAATAAGGCATGAATAAAATGCAGTAGCCAACAGAACGTACAGTTCATTTTTCAGTGAACGTTTCCAAAGTTTCTGATATCGTGAATTTTTTCTAATGACTTTGTAACAACCATCCTCTATTCTTTTCATCCTGTGTTTCCAGCGGAGTTCTCCGGAACCGCCTCCCTCGCTCTCCAATGGAACGCGAAAATATTTTGCACGTTTTGTTGGACCCTCCCCCTCAGTGGGCAGGCAGCTCATCCGCAGGCGTACCAATCTCTCCGGCGCGCCCGTCCCTTCATCCGGACCAGCATGCTGCAGCAGCCCAGCGACCCGCCGCCCCGCCCGGTTCGATACATACCATTTTCGAAACGCGGAAAACTTTTCTTCGTCCGCTGCGCTGCGGCAGTGTGCGCTGCCAAAGTTACTCCCGCTGCGCGCCCTTCTTGTTCTTCTTCTTCTTCTTCTTGTTCTTCTTCTTCTTCTTCTTCTTCTTCTTCTTCTTCTTCTTCTTCTTCTTCTTCTTCTTCTTCTTCTTCCCCTCCCTCTCTCCGCACCACCTGATGTCCCTCCCACTAATCATGTCCTCCGTCCGCCCCCGCTGAACCCGACCCTCTTTTTGCGTCATTTAGTTACAGCAAGATGACCAGTCCCCTCGTCCAGGGCGGCCAGGGCGGCCAGGGCGGCCAGCCAGCGCGTCCGGCCCAGGGGGACCAACCTCGCGCCGCCGAGATCGCGTGCGCGGCGGCGCGCGCGGCAAGGGGACGCTTCCTACATATTGAATGAAACGCACGCCGACAATGCGGCGGCCATGTTGGCAGCGCCACTGCAAGGGGCGTGCATTAAAGGCGGGTTTCGAATAACCCGCCGCGCCACCCAGACACGGCGCAGCACAGCGCGGCCGCATTTGCGGCACATAGGTAAGGAATTATTGACGAAGGGGGTGGGCTGCAGACGGCTGCGCGTACGGAAGGAAGGGTGGAGCAGGGTGCGAAGCGCGGCCATGGAGGCTGGCTGGCCCGGACACCACCCGGCAAAATGCAGCGCCCCGGAGAGGAAAAGTTTCGTGTTTACTTTTTGCGTTTGCGCGCCGGCGGTCGCCCGTCCGCGGATGAATGATATATGATTCGAGATGAATGCCGGCGACGCAGCCCCCTCCCCCTCCCCACACACTAACACACACACGCACAGACACACACACATACACACGCACACACATACGGGCGCACACAGGCGGCCCAATGGAGGCGCGGGGCGCGGGAGCCGCGAGGGAGGGAGGCGGGCGACCCCTATGGCCGCGGAGCCAAAACGTAATCAGAGTTCGATGAAGCATCGCAATCAGGTCCATTGTAGTCGGCCTTCAATAGGACCTGGAGCCACTCGTTCTGTCCCTCTCGCACCCGAAGGGCGCCCCGCGAGAGAGAGGCAGAGCGAGTTCCGATCGGAAATGCGCTTCTGGTCGCGCGCACGCCGAAACCTTACCCCCATGAATAACGTTTTGCAATCTATACTTTTTGTTGTTATTGTTGTTGTTGTTTTTTGCTGCCCATTTTAGTTTTCCGGGCTGCGACACGCGAGCGCGCTTCAGTGAGACTGCTCCAGATTCCTAGCGTGTTCAAGGCCGCGCTGAAGGTGAGGCCTTTACCTGGCTCGCGTGGAATTCCTTTATGCCATCTCGGCAGGGAATGACAAAGGCAGAGGCACCATTTATTGCCCTGAAAGGCTTGGATAATCAAGCCCACCTCGAACAGCTGACAATGTTTTTTTTTGCCGCTAAAGCAGAGCGAGGTCCCAAAGAAGTCCTACATAGAAACGAGAGAGGAATCGAAAATAAATAAGAAACCATTTTTTTTCTGTTTGTTACGAGTGT